CTTACCAGGCCTAAAAAGAAACACAAAGATATGCACATTTGCTGGAGTTTCAGAAATACTCTTGTATTTTTTATTTGTATACATATATGTCTGTGTGTATGTACATATGTATGCCTTGTCAGGGACATGCCCGGTCCACTGGATGACAAGCAGACCCCGGTGGTCCTGGCTCCGTTGTCCAGAACCAGCGGCACAGTCTCCACTCCAGGCAGCGGATCTTTAGAAATCGCTGGAGGAGGGTACGTCGTTCTGTCTGCCTTTGCCATTTCGCACAGCACGTGGAGATGAGCAAATCTGATTATAGATGGCTCTACATTTTCCAAGTAAGTCCTGGATTTTCTGAAAAAGGTAGAACAGCTTAGGTTGAGTAGAAAAGGTATCAAATACAGTGGTGGTGACTCACCTCATTAACTGCATCTTGCCGATGGCCTCACACCTTGTGAACTTTTTTTTTAATTTATCTTTTCATGGCTGGCCACTCATTTGTCATGTTGACAGGCAATGGCCGTCTGAGAACATTAGCTACTATTATGGGATCACTGAGGCCAAACAGAAAATGGAGAAAATAGCAAGAAATATAAAACTGCTAGTCTTTCTCTAAACCAGGTAGCTGGAAAAATGGTCATTGTGAATCTGTTTGCACGTAGAAATACAGCTATCCTGTTGGTATTAAGCAACTTAATCTACTTCAGCTTCAAAGAAGAGCCTAAAGCAAAAAGATATATTTCGTTATAGGTGAGGAGGAAACATGTTCACAGGCTGTTGACTGTCCTTGAACTGAGCATAGAGACTCAGAGGAAATGTAGATGTGTGGAGAGGATCATAGAGGAGAGGGGAGCCATTCCTCTACCTGGATCGAGCAATGCTTTCTATTACAAAAACATGCCCAACTATTTGTTTTCAGAAGATCTCAAATGCCCTGTTAGTGTTTAGTGGAAACATGTCAAGGTCAAGGGTTTCCCTCAGGTGTCCTCTGAAAGAGCTTGTGAAATGTGAAATCTGAAAATCAGCCAGAAAAGATCTTTTTGGGAAAGTGAGTTATGTGAGGACCATCCGTCGGGCTTAACCTACAGGAGAGGTTAAGATGGAGTTTTCTGGAAAACTTACAGATAAAGCAATCTGTGTCTTGGTCTGATAGAGGAGAGTCTTGTAAAGGATTCACTCAAGTCTTCACCATGTCTTGTAAGCATGAATCTGAATTTTCTCATTTGAGGAAGAGCACAAGTAGTATTTCTAGGTGGGCAAAAGTAGCTTGCAGTGATAGAAACAGCCACAAGCAGAGGCAAAGCCAATGTGTGAGGGCAACCATAAAAATTGAAGGTGTTGTGGGAGATGGCAGTAAAGAGTTTTCATTATGATTGAATATTAATTAGTGACATGGCTATTAATGATGACAGTAATTAACAGAGGAAGGAAAGACTTGTCATTGTCCCAAGGGTGAGTAATCAGTCTTGGCAGGTGATAAATAATGGTTCAGCAAACTCAACAGAAAGATAATCTGTCTGCCTCAGGACAACTGGAGAACAGCTATAAAATCTTCCAGGCTCTTGGCAACATTCAGGAATGACTTCATGTTTTTAACAGAGAGAAATTAAAATCCCTGATTTCAAGTGCTGCTTATATTCCAGAGTGGCTGATCAGTTTATTCCGTGCCTTCAGTTTAGTTGCCCCTTCAAACCTTTCTTTTTTAATATGAATAACGGGGGGAAGAAAGACTGGGGAACCAGCTTTCGGCATTACTTGAATTTTTCATTGTAGTTTGATGAAAATTGAATAGATTCCTCAAAAGAGGCGTAGAGACAGGAAGGTGCTGGCACCATTGCCAGAGGCATTGGTTAGACGTTCTGCAAGGTACTGCCTGCAGTTCTGGTGACCCCAGTGCAAAGAAATGGAACTTAAATTTGAAAGGTTGCTGAATGGTAGAGTAAAGGGAGAGACCATCTTAAGAGGACATTAAAAGAGTTTGGTTGGTTTAGTGAAATGGAGGTAGGGAGGCAATGTGTCAGCCCTGTGTAGAAACTCTCAGGAAGAACTACCGAGGAAGAATAATTCTTTCTGTTAAATGATAATACAGGTATGACATCAAATGCATATAAATGGAGTGGGACTTAATCCTACAGTAAGTATTCCTGTATATCTGGAAAGGGATCATGCGGAATGCACTTCCACCTCCCTTGAGCAAAGCAATGCACTGCTCTAGATGATTTTCAGATATCAGCTGTCACGTCACTTGGTAATAAGATGCCTAAGAGGTCACTGCAAGCCTGTAATCTGAGACCAAAATCAGGAGAAATAGTGGACTTTTTAGTTTGGAGGATGAACAAAAAAACCAAGAAAGATTCTGGTTAACTTGAACGAAGACAGCATTTTGTGAGGTTTTGTTTTGTTTCTGACAATACAGAAGCACTTCAGTTTGAGTCTTCTTGAAATGGTTTTCTAACCTCAAATGTTTTGTTCTATCTTAGGATATATTTGTTTTGTAGAAGGCAAAAGGGAACATCCATGTTTATAAAATAGAATGTTTTATTAACAAACTTGTCAAAACAACAGTTACGGACTCTGAACATTTTCCCCATATGTTATTCAGCTAACACTGTTCACTAGATGTGTTCTCATCTAGCAGGTAGTTTGGACCCCTCAGACATCATCTTCTGAATAAATTTACTATTCACAAAAAATGACATGACTTTAGGCTGCACCTGGCAAGCTGGTTTCAGTAGAGGCAGGAAAGTGCTGGCACCATTGCCAGAGGCATTGGTTAGACGTTCTGCAAGGTACTGCCTGCAGTTCTGGTGACCCCAGTGCAAAGAAATGGAACTTAAATTTGAAAGGTTGCTGAATGGTAGAGTAAAGGGAGAGACCATCTTAAGAGGACATTAAAAGAGTACGGCTGGTTTAGTGAAATGGAGGTAGGGAGGCAATGTGCCAGCCCTCTGTAGAAATACTCAGGAGGAACTACTAAGGAAGAAGAATAATTCTTTCTGTTAAATGATAATACAGGTATGATATCAAATGCATATAAATGGCATATTAATAAACTTAGGCTGGGAAGTTATAAAAAGAGTTCTATCCATAAAAAAAAAAAAAAAGAAAAAAGAAAAAAAGGGTTCAGGAATAACTTTCCATAAAGTATAATGGCAACTTAAATTGCTCCTAGGTGGAGTTGGGAGGTAGGGAGAGTAGCTGTAGAGCTGAGAATACAAGCTTGTAAGATCTGTCCTTTAGTGTCTGGTTCGTTGATACCTGCAGGGCAGATTGAGACAATGCCCAGCTGCTGCTTGTTGGTCACATCTGTTAGCCCAGTATTTAAGCAAAAGCAGATGCTTCCCTGATCTTCAGAAGCTCTGCTGATTTCCTGCAGGGGACAAGTAACTTGTTTCCCTTGCCTTGGGTGGGGGAGGAGGGAGGTCAGGTCCATTTTCCTGCTTGCCGCTGAAGCCTGACTGACGAGGCTTTACTGGTGCTCCTCGCAGAGTTGTGGGTCAACCTGCGTTGTCGCGGGGAGCGGGAGCTGCCGTCCCCTTCTGCATGGGGTAGAGCCCACATTTCTAGTGGGAATTCCACCTGTATGGGAGAGTCACTCAGACCCGAAGATATTTCAGGGACCTGGGACACTAGCAGCGCCTCTTGTTTCTCTGTGGCACATCATACTTGTGACTCCTGTCCTTCGTTGTATTTAAGGTTTGTTGAGGCTGTGGGGATGCTCTGGGCCTGTGGAAAGCAAAATGTTCTTCAGACCTTTTCTGGAACAGGCATCGCATGGGTTATGCTATTTCTTGAAGTACGTACCACGTCTGAACTCAGAAGCACTCCAGGCAAATAAGATCCTCTAGGGTTTGTTTAGTAAGCCTAGAACCATAGGGTTGATCAGTTCTTTCTTGTATGCTGTCTTCAACTGATATATCACAAAGCATAACACTAAATCTTGCCGGGGCTATTAGCCTACTGTATATGAATGCAAGTATTTCTCAACAAATTGACTATACGCTGAGAAGGGCTTGGTGTTATGTCTGCATCCAGACACGGCATCGTTAGCTTGTGCTGCAAGCTGCCATAACTTGGCATGGACTTGCTCAGTTGCCTCCAAGTGCCTTTGCTGATTGCCTTTGACTTTGGACAAGTCATGTTAGCTGACTTGTACACACCATTATGTTTCATTTTAAGCTTAACTTTCTGAGTATGGGGTTTAACTAAATTTTGCTGCCCTGTCACGTTGTATTTTGATAAAAGGCCTTAGCTTCTACTGAACAGCAACAAGTTTTCCACTTCTGTGATTTCCATGCAAGCAACAGAGGTTGTGTACATGCAGAGGATCAATCCTAGAGATCTTTACGCTGTTTATAAGATAGCAACAAGCTTTGTACTACTTGGTGGGCCCTGAAAACCTAATAAACTACCTGATGGGCCTTAAAGACTCACTTCTCTGCTCCTGGCCACCATGCTGCTGGTGTGATCACTAGCAAGTGACAGCTCAACAGTGTCTTGGTTACCGGCACACTGAATCCCACTTCCTTCTCCAAGATATTGCTTGTCTTTGACATAAGGGAGACTTTCCTCTGTCTTTTTTTGACTGATAACTCAGTTCTGTACTTTTAGATTATTGCCTCTGACATTACAGGTGCAAGGTGCAATGCTCCTTCATCTCCTTGCTAGCTAGTGCTTGCAGAAATGTTACTCCCTGTATGCTGAGGTGAGAGAGAAGCAACTGGGAGAGAACAAGTTACATGGAACCATTAGAGTAATATCTGACTTAAAGTATATCAAGGCTCCTGTCACACAGAATACTTCTTGGGACTTAGTACCTGTCAATAGCTGTATAAATATAGCGTGGCACAAGAAGGAAAAACATTCTGAAACCTCAGTGGAGATAAAAAGGAAAATGGAATAAAATTCATGTCAGTTCTATTGTATATCTATCTCAATGTTACCTCTCTCTAGGGCTCTAAAACCCTGTGGTCTCAGTGTTTAATGCTTTCTTTACTTTTTTTTTTTTTTTAAAGGTGCTGATATTGTGCAGTGGCTTATGAAAAACCTCAGCATTGAGGATCCAGGTAAGGTGACCACAGCTGGGGAGGAACAGATACTCCATCTGTATTGTGTGGGCCATTAGACAGTAGATATGTCTAAAATACCAGTAGAACAACAAGGTTGATTTAAGCGTCGGAGG